TAGAGAACGGATAGGTCACTTCGCACCTCTCCAGAATCGCCTGTGGGGTGACCCCACTTAATTGCTTGCGCTGAATGCTGACCTTGCTCGATAGCTCCAAAACAAGCAAAATAAAGTAAATAAAGTAATATTTGGATTGGACTCCAGTTTCATAGCCGATAAACATCTGAGTATGAAATGAAACTTCATTAATGTTGTAGAAATAACTGAAGGGAGTAAAACAAAGAATGCACGATACTCACTAGATACATATACATGAATATTTTAACAACTATATTGCTTTATTAGTAACATATTTTGACATCTTTCTGCAAAAGTGCTCCACTTCTTCTCGAGTCGCCCCATTTTGGTAGCATTGCTCAAATCTGGAACAAGGAACGCTAATTTCTATCTGCATAATTCCCCCCCCCCTACACTCTATAATACTCACTTTCTTCATCTCTTCTGCAATTTTAGCTCTTCTTTCTTTATCTCGCTTGCGCAGAACTCTTGCTCGGCTCCGGTCCTGTGATGGAAGATATGTTTTTGCAATAATTTATCACGGCATCATGATCAAATTGTAACCTGCTGATGACGTTTAAGAATTGCACGCGCTTCGTAGTTGATCTTGCGAAGAGCTTCAATAAGGATGCTGAGCGGTGGATGCTCCACATATATAATTGCCTTCAGCCGCCTGAAAAAGTCTGTACAGCAGATTATCACGGCAGTATAAGTCGATTACCTGTGGAAAGCCTCGGCTAAATTTGTAGTTCGAAGTTCTTCCAGCTTCCACTTACACCACATGTCCTTGAACGGTCCTTGGAACCAGGTTTCACGCAGATACTTTCAGAAAGTTCTTACATCTTTGGTAGGCGCTGTGCCTCACTTGGTATCGGAGGTTTTTGTAAAGCTCTCACTTCCGACATCAGAGAGGGCGGCAGAAACACGATACCTGTAAGAGGAAGTGAAGTGCTTTCTGTGATAACCATAGTTAAACATTCAGCGTACCTTTGATAATATCCCACCATTGTACGATTCGTGCGTCCCTTTCCATTCCTTGCATGTACCGTCTGAGCCCAAGAGCATCCCTTCTACGATTCCAAGCTTGAAGCTAGGTGGAAGGCGCAGCCTTCCACAGAGGCCCTAGGGAAGATTTTTCGAGTAGCTGTTATAGCCGCTTTTTCAAAGTCGAGAATGACCCGACGAGGGGCATCACCTGTGATGTTGCTCTTCAGATGACCGAATACTTTCAAGTAAACTTCCTCGGTCTTCTTCGCAGTGATGCAATACAGAAGCGGCACCTCGATTCCTTGGAACATACACCATGCACGCAATACAACTGCGCATGACATCCCAGCGATCTGGGATGCAACGAGTGCATCCCGTCAGCAACGATGCTGTGCAGACCGGCTTCGCACGCTTTCTGTAATTTTAACAGTGAACGAAATTTGTAACATCCTTTGGTTTTTCTCACTGTATGGTCGCCAAAGAGTAATAGATGTGGAACCCAGGCGCTTGGTAGTCGAGGAACGTGGATCCATCGCGCAGGGTGCTGAACTCCGGAGGCACATGATCCATAGTGACAGCTCTGTTTTTCCACACGGCCAAGCTTCTGATTTTGAAAGGTAAAAGCATTTGTTGAGGAGAGCAATCTAATATATCTGGTATACCTTAAGATAGGTTGTCGTCTAGAGTGATATCCTGAGCGACGAACCGCGGCTCTAATCGAATCTTCCATTTCTGCTGAAAAAGACAAATTCGAAGAAACGGGAAAAATGTTTGAAGTTGAACGTGTTACCATCGTCTGTTTCGAATGGTGCCGCCACCATATCGAGATAAACTTTCACAGGCCTCTTCTCCGCGCAGGCAGGATCTCTTCGAATGCTTTGCAGCTCCTGAAAGTGCAGTTGTAAATAATAATCACCGTTGATATGAACAGCAATTCCTGCCTTGTATACATGTCTGTTTCCAATTTCTTCAGCATACTTCGCAAAAACGCATTCGTGGTCCATTCTACACGTATCGCTCAAAAATTCGTTTCCAATTACCTGAAATGATATACGCTAGAGTAATCAGCATCCATAGGGCTTCTAAATCTACCTCGATAAATTCGCCCATTGCTTGCTCTCCTCGTTTTCTTCCTTTCTTTCAAACAGTGGAGGCAGCCGTACTTCTCGCATTTTTTGTTCGCCCATGATCTGTAGAACGTGAATGAACGTGTAGTACCTGGAATTCTATAAATTAGTACGCTATGTTTCCCTCTTTTGCTTACCTGTTTTTCACCAACGAATCTTGCACCAACCTGCATAAAGCGGACGCGGAGGGGCCAAAGACAATGGCCTTCACGGGCATTAATGACCGTTATTCTTAACAGCCAAGCTAGGGTAGATTACTACGTCAGCTCTGCAAATCTCGTCTCGCGTCCATCTAAATTCATTTACATATCACGCACATCGAGAATACGTGTGGTAAAGTTATGTCAGACAATTTCTACACCCTTAAGGCCGCGTTCATAGTTCGCGACACCGGAGATCAGGATAGTAGGATAGTCGGAGAGTAGGATAGTAGGATACTGAGCGACTGGCGATAGGAGAGTAGGAGAGTAGGATAGTAGTAGATTGCGCTGACAAGATTAGATACGTATCGACTGAAATCGCCGGAGAGTAGGATATTACGATATTACGATAGTAGGATAGTAGTAGATTCCGCTGAACAGATTAGATACATATTGATCAGGATATTAGGATAGTAGGATATTAGTAGAGTACGAGATTAGGATAGTAGGATAGTAAGCGACCACAAATAGAAAATCAATACTCCTATTATGCCTGTTTTCTTTTCCTGCCTACTTTTCTTTTGCTTTTACTTTCTTTTCTTGAGTTCTTTTCTAGATTAGGTCACAATTGAATTTCCTGTGAAATCCAACAGACTCCTTCTGATCGGTAGCCACGTGTCTTACGTGGGTGTTGATGACTCTCAGCCGTGTACGCAAAAATTCTTTCTACTCTCTTGGACAAGATACCTGTAACTCTGCGGTTGTCCCACTTCACTTAATTTTCGAAACACCAAAATTAATGTTGCACAAGCTGCAGGAGAGGGGTGGTCAACTAATAGGTGCAACGGCGCTCATGTCCTTGGGGGGGGGGGGGAGGACATCAACAACAAGGCCGATGGCAGGTGACAGTGGGACTAAGCCCAGGAGAGGGGAGAAACGCCAGGGAGCACACATATTGCTTGCATCTTCCCATAAAATCCCTTCCCTGCCTAAGGCTCAGTCCCAAGTACAGTAATTGGCTCACTCACTGGGATGTCCCCCAAGGACATGAGCGCCGGTGCAAATTGAGCTCTAGGTAATTAATGATTTATGTAAATGTTCACAAGGAAACAAAATGTTAGTTTAATCATTTAGGAGAGACAAAAATCATGGAGACAACGTTGAGTCAAGAAAACAAGCTAGTTTAGCCCAAAATTCGGAAACAATGCCAACTTTTATAAATCAACACTGGTCGCTTAATATCCTACTCGCCAGCGATTTCAGTCAATATGTATCTGATATGTTCAGCGGAATAGCCTACTATCCTAATTCGCGTACTCTACTACTATCCTACTATCGTAATATCGTAATATCCTACTCTCCAGCGATTTCAATCGATACGTATCTAATCTTGTCAGCGCACTATCCTACTCTCCCACTATCCTAATCTACTACTATCCTAATCTCCCCGTCAATACGTATCTTTTTCATTGTCGCGCACTATCCTACTCTCCGGAGTCGCGAACTATGAACGCGCCAGCCTAAATTCTCTTTTGGACGGAGAGAAATTAGATATGCGCCATTGCAAGTCCTCGAACAGGCCCTGTAAACACCGTCGCGAACGTCTGCCTGAGTGGAAACGCTTTGGATTTTGGTAGCAACACATTTTCTTATCCTCGATTCTCGCTGATTGTTCACTACCTTCAGTGCCTCTCTACAACCTAACCTTTTCACATCCGATGCCGAGCTGGGTTGCTACTAACGATGACCCAGCAGTGGGTGTGGCCCACAACCCGACCTGCGTCCAGGGTCAACTGACCGTTCGACAAAGTCCAACGAGGGGGTCGTATTCGCAAGGTCGTAGGAGGCAGCGTATAACTTCCTACACCAACCCAACGATGGGTCGTACTATGACGGCTATTTTGGAGGAAAGGTGATTTGTGAGGCAGTTGGCTGGTCACTAGTCTCAGAATTCAAATGCTATAGAACTAGCTGGGGAATCGTATCGAGAACCCTCCAGGAGGGGGTCGGTTAACTTCTGAAGATTTGTCCAAGCGCGACCTCTGACCCGCTCCCGTTCTGATCAGTCTGCTATTTTCATTCGGACAGCTCATCTCTGAAGTCTAAAGGACCTGTCAACTGACGAGGTTGCCCGAAGACCTTTGAGATGTTCTCGCCAAGTTCACTTGACCGAGTGGTGTGGATTTCAGAGTGAAACACTGTGTTTTCTCAGGGAGTCGGTATTGATCATATGACGCAGCTGGTGTCCTTTACGTCCTTCGCATAACATGCGCGGTCGTGCTTGCCGTGCCGTTGTCCATGTCTTGCTCCTGTTCCGGTGCTAGTCTGACAGTCAGCAGATGAGCAGCAGAAGCAGAAATGAACGCCGAGATGTTTTGTGACGTCTACGGTCATGCGCCTACCGTACGCGTCTTTTGTCCGGGACACCTGAATCTCATTCGGTAAGTCGATTGCTCAACGTTTGGACGCTTTTTTTTCAAAAATTGAAGTTTACTACGCCGATCCTTGTTCTTTACACCCTCCTAGCCCAATTCGCGGTATCATTGAAGATTGGAAATTTTCTGGTGATCGACAATTCCCATTCAATTTTTCTCGCGATCAACGTCGTATTCTGCTTTGTGCGCTTCGTAGCAGATGAGCCTTTTTTCTTGACCGGCTCGCCTTGCTTTTCCCTCCGAGCCCAATAAATACATTGATCGGAAGTCCGAAAGTTAGCGAGTTAGCGCTGTTTTGAGGATCATGATGAGCCCAACGTAAAGTACTCATTAAAGGTAGGGGGCCGTATTTGGTTCTGGGGAAGCAGAGCCATATTGGCTTTAGCGTTGAAATGGGTGTAAGGATGTTTGTAAAGATTCATAAGATACCAAGAACGACAATTTCCAAATTTTAGCTGTTTTTTATTAACCCATTCGTGACAATGGCAGCCACCGGTGGCTGACAAAGATCTCACTTGTACAATGGTATCCACCGGTGGCTGCCGTGTTTCAAATGGAATTTGGAAAGTTTTCTTTCCTGAAAAGAATCTTCATACCCTCATTCATCTATGCCAGACTTGGGCACGGGAATCTCCATCCACTCAAATTTTATTGAAGAAAAATCTCCTGACTCTCCTGCTAATGCGCAAACCGGCGCGGTCGCGAATGGGTTAAAGTGTACACCCCTTACGGATTGAAGAAGTTTTGCGGTAAGGTAGTGTGAATTTGAAGTAGTTGAAGCAGAGTAACAGGTGCATGGCATTGGAGAGGGAGATGAGGGCCTAATGGGAGTTGGCATTAGCTTTGCACATTCCAACCCTGCTTGGGAAGGGGTGGGAGGATCTGTTGGCCGTATTGCTCCTACATTTGGGCATGCAGATCAGGATAGGCAAAACCGGTACGGTGAGCATACGAATTGATCGGGCAGCGATTAAGAATGTACTGTTGATCGCGCCATGGTGGGGAAATTACGTGTAGCTTCATATCAGTGCAAATTTAGGGAATAAAACGTTGTAAATTCAATTACTGGGAAGGTTCCTCCACAGTTGTTAAGTGCGCGATTGGTACCACTTGACACTTCAACTATTAATCAATGCTTAGGATGTATTTAATGTAAGGTACGATACGTTGACCATGCCGATTGATTTTCCGTAACAATCCACCATATGCCGAAATAAGACCCTATTCGTATGCAACAACTCATGCGAACAACAATGAATTCAGGTGAACACATAGCAGAACATGGATTTGGAACCATTGCAATGGCAACCGACACGGGCACAGAAATCCTTGCCGCTCTGAACGATCGAGCAGAAATCCGTCTTGTGAACACAGATGAGGAATACAGGTGACTGCGCCAATACTTTCCTGGTGTCTATCTAAGAGAGATTTCACGATAAGGTCGGGGGTTGAGGAAAGGGAAGGATACCTAAATTGAAAGCAGACAGACTAATAAGGGAGGCCGAACGGTGCACAGCGAAGAGTAAATGTTCCCACAAGTAGCTTAGCAAGGCCATACCCGGGTGCTCGCACGCGGCACCGACCCCCCCTTCCATTCATTTGACCTCTACCCGTTTAGCAGAGGGAAGAGAGAGGCGTGTAAAGAGAGGACAGCACGAAGAGAGTCACAGGAAATATCGGTAAAGATGTCTCGACTTCTGAATTCGGCCTCTCATGTTCTCCATCTCCTGACCACTAACCGCTAACCTTGAATTCTAGTGGGTTACCTTTTCATCGTATGATCCGATTAAATTCAGTATCGTAGTATCGCATGATTCTTTGAGGGCATGCGAACTACGCATTGTTGGTTTATACAGCAGCTGTAATTTGAAAGCATTGAGCAAAACAAAAGTTCATTTCTCAAAATCTCAAAATTTACATTGCTCAGGAGTGAGGTTTGGAAAAAAAGGGAAGGGGAAAAAAAACTTTTTTCAGTTTCAATGCTGATATTGCCTAATTCTTATCACCATCCTCAAATTAATAGCACAAAATGAGTTCAGGTGTATGAATCCTTTTGCTGTGCAGGGCTGAGCTGGTCACGAAAGTCTTAGATGTCCGTTTCTCCAGGCTCTAAATCGCACAAGAAATGCGCTAAGGCTTGCAACCGCTTATACCGCTTCAATTTTTTTATGGTGTCAGGCGCCCTCTCGTCCGTTCTGCTCTCTCGCCTATCCTCTCCTTTTTTTGTGCTCAGTCTCTCATTGTCATAGCGCGGCTAGACCGTGTGACCGACCAGTCCCTTAAGTTTAGCGTTTTTAGGGTTTCTTTCTATTTTTTTTTTGCTGCCGGCCCACTTCGCACTGTCGATTTCATTTTCCTGTGAGTAGGCGCACCAAGTTTGATCTATGGTGGGCCATCAATTCCGCTGTAGCGTGACAATGAATCGTGCTCCAGCTTAGGACGGCAAAGTGTCAGCTTAAGATCCCCGCGCTCGGTGAAACAGTATACTCGGTTTCGGAGAGGCTGAAATTCTCAGATACTCCTGTTGTCATGTGATTCCCAGAAGAAAGTGTGTTTAACGATCAAAATTGCGCGGTAATAGGTTGTGACGCTAGAAAGTAGACGTGGAAGTGTTGATTAATTAGTTGCAACAAAAATGCAGAACAAGCCTTCAAAAAAGTGAGTTAGACCACCTCCACATTTTTGTCATTTCTGAAGAAACTTAGTGTCTCAGTTATCACCTGCTGAAATCACATCAAAACCACCTGCTGTACCTTTTGGCTCTTTTCCACTGCTGGGATTTCCTGCTACTTTGTTTTATGCAGTAAATCGCAACCTTCATTGTCATGAAGAAGGTCCATTGCATCGAGGAGGGGAGCAGAATGGCAGACCTAGGGCTAACGAATTAAGGCCTATTAAGTTCTCCTCTGTCCTACAAATTTACCCTCGAGAAGGACGTAGTGCTTGGGGTCTTGAAAAGTTACATGCTGCTCATGCAAGGGCATGGCGCGTTCGAACATTTGTGTGCCCCTGAATGTTAACTATAGTTCCTGCTTCCCATTCTTGTAGACGTTTTAACCCACTCGCGACCGGGCGGGATTTTCGAAGACTGCCCGTTCGGACCAGCGCCGTCAGAGACGATTGCGCAATGTCAGCCACCGGTGGCTGACATTGTCCCAGGGGAAATCCATCTTGTATTTTTTTAGTTTTTTCTATATGTCATCCGTAGTTCACGCTGAAACTTCTCCCATAGAGGTTATCAAGGGTCCTGATCACGATTATGGGATTCATTTTTGGCTCTGGCGCCAAATTGGCGCCATTTGGCGCCAGATGGCGCCCTGACTGAATTTCGTCAAATTCGATGTAAACTTGTATATAGGGGTTATTTGAGGCCCTGATTACGAATATGAGATTCGTTTTTGGCGCTGGCGCCAAATTGGCGCCATTTGGCGCCAGATGGCGCCATGACTGATTCGTCAAATTCGACTGGTCGCTGCCTGCTTCGCCCGTGCCCCCGGTCTTTTTCTTGGCCCACTGCGCACGTTTGGCGCCAGGAAAAAAGTCCTTAATTTTGTCCACAATCAGGGCTCCAATAATACAACTTCCGTTTAGCATCGAAGTTTGACGACAACAAATTCAAGTCGGGGTTGGCAGCCCACTGGGCATTGGCAGCGCCAAACAAAAAAATATCCCCTCCCATATTCGTAATCAGGGTCTCATAATAACCCCTATGTACAAGTTTACATCGAATTTGACGAAATTCAGTCATGGCGCCATCTGGCGCCAAAAGGCGCCAATTTGGCGCCAGCGCCAAAAACGAATCTCATATTCGTAATCAGGGCCTCAAATAACCCCTATATACAAGTTTACATCGAGTTTGACGAAATTCAGTCAGGGCGCCATCTGGCGCCAAATGGCGCCAATTTGGCGCCAGAGCCAAAAATGAATCCCATAATCGTGATCAGGACCCTTGATAACCTCTATGGAGAAGTTTCAGCGTGAACTACGGATGACATATAGAAAAAACTAAAAAAATACAAGATGGATTTCCCCTGGGACAATGTCAGCCACCGGTGGCTGACATTGCGCAATCGTCTCTGCCGGCGCTGGTCCGAACGGGCAGTCTTCGAAAATCCCGCCCGGTCGCGAGTGGGTTAAAGGCGAATAGCTTGGGCAAGAATAAGAGTTCCCATTCAGGGGAACAAGTGTTTTGAACGCGCCATGCCTTGCATGAGCCAGTAATTTTCGAGACCGTACACTACGTCCTTTTTCGAGGGTAAAAGTTTGTAAGACGGAGATACCTTAGTAGGCTATCATTCGTAGCCTAAGTCGCCATTCTGTCCCCTCCCTTCTGAATGGACTTTCATGAAATTGAAGGTTGGGATTTCTGCTAAGCAAAGTAGGCGGAAATCAGCAGTGGAAGAAAGCCAAAAGGTACAGCAGGTCGTTTTGATGTGATTTCACCAGGTGATAACTGAGACACTAAGTTTCTTCAGAAATGACAAAAATTGGAGGTGGTGTAAGTCACTTTTTTGAAGGCTGTTCTGCATTTTTGTTGCAACTAATTAATCAACACTTCCACGTCTACTTTCTAGCGTCACAACCTATTACCGCGCAATTTTGATCGTTAACCATACTTTCTTCTGGAATCTATATACAAAGGAGTATCTGAAGAATTTCAGCCTTCCGAACCGAGTATACTGTCACAGAGCGTCTTACCTGAACACTTTGCGTCTAGGAGACGATTAAGCATGGCTACAGCGGAATTGATGGGGACTCATAGGATCAAACTGGTCAGTTCCACAGGAAATGAAATGCGACAGTGCGAGTGGGCGGCAGCAAAACAAAAAATAGAAGCAAAGTAAACGCTTAAAATTAAGGGATTGGGTCTGTAACCGGTTTGCCGTGCGTATGAAATGGAGACTGAGGCAAAAGAGAGATGGCAGAGAGGAAACGACCGAGAAGGCGTGAACACGAGTAAAATAAGCGGGTATATAGCGGTTTGCCAGCTTACGATTTATTGTGCGATAGAGTGAAGGGACATCTAAGACTTTCGTGACCAGCTCAGCCTGCACAGCAAAAGGATTCATACACCTGAACTCATTTTGTGCTATTAATTTGAGGATGGTGATAAGATAGCAATATTCAGCATTGGAACTGAAGTCCCTCTTTTCCAAACCTCACTCCTGAGCAATGTAAATTTTGAGATTTTGAGAAATGAACTTTTGTTTTGCTCAATGCTTTCGAATTACAGCTGCTGTATAAACCAACAATGCGTAGTTCGCATGCCCTCAAAGAATCATGCGATACTACGATACTGAATTTAATTCGGATATACGATGATAAGGTACCGCTAGATTCCAGGTTAGCGGTAGTGGTGGCAGGAGGAGACATGAGAAGGGCAGAATTCAGAAGTGAGACTTTTTCGATTATATTGTGACTCTCTCGATGCTGTCGTCTCCTACACGCTCCTCTCTCCTTGTAAAGCGGGTAGGGTCAAATGAGGAAAGGTGGCGTGGCCGCGGTGGAGGCACCTGAGTATGGCTGTAAGCTCTGGAATATCTTCGCTGTGCACTTGGCTCCCCTTCTTAGTCTGTCTGCCTTCAATTAGGTATCTTCACCTTCCTCAACCGCGATAGTGTCCTCGTTAAAGAGAAGGAAAGTATTGATCAGTCACTGTTTTAATGTGTTTCAAGACGGATTTCTGCTCGATCGTTCAGAGCGGCAAGGATTTCTGTGCCCGTGTCGGTTGCCATTGCAATGGTTCCAAATCCATGTTCTGCTATGTGTTCACCTGAATTCATTGTTTGTTCGCATGAGTTGTTGCATACGAATATTGTCTTGTTTCGGCATATGGTGGATTGTTCGGAAAATAATCACATGGTCAACGTATCGTACTTATATTAAATACTCTAGAGCATTGAGTTAATAGCTTGAAGTGTAAGTGGTACAATCGCGCCTTACAGTTGAGGAACGTTCCAGTATTGAATATTACAGTTTTATTCGCTAAATTTGCACTGGATATGAGCTACACGTAATTTCCACCATGGCGCGCTCAAAGCCACATATCTTAATCGTTGCCTGATAAATTCGTAATGCCTCCCGGTATTGTGTTTGTGGCCTATTGATCTGTGGCCCAATGGAGGAGCAATCTCAAAGATCCTCGCAGTCTCCAGCGGGTTGGAATGTGCAAGCTAATGACATTAGGCTCATTCGCTCTCATGCCTGCCCTGTATCTGGTTCAACTCCCATTCATTACTATTTCCGCAACTTCCTTCAATCGTAAGGGTGTAACACTTTAGCTTGGAGCGCCGTTTGCGCATATAGCGGAATCAGAAGATTTTTTCATAAATTGGTGGATGGAGAAAGCGGTGCATAGGTGACCATAGATGAATGACGATATGAGAATTCTTTATGGAAGAATTTCAAATTCATTTGTACACGCAGCGCGGTGGTTAGCATTGTACAAGTGAGATCTTGTCAGGACCGGGTGGCTGGCTTATTTTGCAAATGGGTAATAAAAAAGTAAAATTGAAATTGTCGTATTCTTGGTATCTTATTGAACTTTTACAACTCCTTACACGATATTCAAGCTGGAATATGGTGTGTTCCAGACCAATAGCCCCTACCTTTAAAGAGTACTTACGTTGGCTCATCATGGTCCTCAAAATAGCGCTAACTTTCGGACTTCCGATCAATGTATTTATTGGGCTCGGAGGGAAAAGCAATGGCGAGCCGGTCAAAAAAGGCTCATCTGCTACGAAGCGCGCAAAGCAGAATACGACGTTGATCGCGAGAAAAATTGAATGGGAATTGTCGATCACCAGAAAATTTCCAATCTTCAATGATACCGCGAATTGGCTAGGAGGGTTAAAGAACAAGGATCGGCGTAGTAACTTCAATTTTTGAAAAAAAAAGCGTCAGTGAGTATTGACTTACAATGTAGATTCAGGTGTCGCGACAAAGCGCGTCGGTGGCGCCATGACGTAGACGGTAAAACATCTCGCGTTCATTGTTGCTTTGCTGCTATCGTGACTGTGAACGAGGAGCAACATGGGGCGCGCCGCTATGTTATGCGAAGTGAGTAAGGACGGCGTCATATGATCAATAGTCTCCTTGAGAAAACAGTGTTTCACTCTGAAATCCACAGCGACAGTGAATTAGCGGAACATGCTAAGGTTCGGCAACGCTCGTCAGTTGAAGGTCCTTTAACTTCAGAGATGAGCTGTCGGCATGAAATGAGACTGTAAGACGAGGGGGGTCAGAGTGCGTTGGAACAATTTAGAAGTAAGCGACTCCCTCCTGGGGGTCTCGATACGTCCCAGCTGTTTACTATAAGGCATTTGATTCTGAGCTCGTTGACTAGACCCCCCCTCCATCCCTTTCTGAACGAGGCGGGGGGGGGGGGGGGGGGGGGGGGGGGGGGGGGGGGGGGGGGGGGGGGGGGGGGGGGGGGGGGGGGGGGGGGGGGGGGGGGGGGGCCCCATCGTTCGTGGATTAAGCGCTCAAACTGCGATTCAACAGTAGTTGAGTTTGTCGAAAATGTTTTACCCTGGACGCGGTCGGGTGTGGGCCATCACCCCTGCTGTCTTTGACGTTGGTCGAGTGAAAAGGTGTAGATAGGGGCACATAAGGTAGTGAACATAGATAATGCGGGTAAGAAATTGTGGTAACAAAATTCGAAAGCGTTCCACCTCAGGCAGAGCTTCGCGACCGGTGTTTAAGGTGTTGAGGACCTGAGCAGATTTTCACTACTAATTTCTTCTCGTCAATACACCAGTAGGCTGCGTTCATAGTTCGCGACTCCGGAGAGTAGGATAGTGCGCGACAATGAAAAAGATACGTATTGACGGGGAGATTAGGATAGTAGTAGATTAGGATAGTGGGAGAGTAGGATAGTGCGCTGACAAGATTAGATACGTATCGATTGAAATCGCTGGAGAGTAGGATATTACGATATTACGATAGTAGGATATAGTGAGTAAGAGAATAGATAGTAGGCTATTTGCTGAAATATGCAGATACATTTGATGAATCGTGGAGGAGGATATTAGCCGATCAGTGTGTGACTATAACGTAGATTGTTTCGATTTTGGCTAACTAGCTTGTGTCTATCCACGTTGTGGTTCATGATTTTTGTTTTCCCTAATGATTAACGTGATATTGTTCCTTGCTGAGAATTCATAAATTTATTATCTAGGCTTCTTTGCAACGTGTCCTTTGTGGGGACTCCGTGGTGAGCGATTACTGATTGGGACTGGAGCCTTAGCATGGAAGTGAGTTTGTATGGGAGATGCAGCATATGTTGTGCTCCTGGGTTTTTCTTCTCTGGCTTAGTCCTACTTACTTGCATGTTGCTGTGGATGTTTCACTTCCCCCCCCCGGATGAGGCGTGCACCTATTAGTTGATCACCCCTCTCCTGCAGCTTGTGCAACATTAATTTTGGTGTTTCGAAAATTAAGTGAAGTGGGACAACCGCAGAGTTACAGGTATCTTGTCCAAGAGAGTAGAAAGAATTTTTGCGTACACGGCTGAGAGTCATCAACACCCACGTAAGACACGTGGCTACAGATCAGAAGGAGTCTGTTGGATTTACACAGGAAATTCAATTGTGACTTAATCTAGAAGAGAACTCAAGAAAAGAAAGTAAAAAGAAAAGAAAAGTAGGCAGGAAAAGAAAACAGGCATAATAGGAGTATTGATTTTCTATTTGTGGTCGCTTACTATCCTACTATCCTAATCTCGTACTCTACTAATATCCTACTATCCTAATATCCTGATCAATATGTATCTAATCTGTTCAGCGGAATCTACTACTATCCTACTATCGTAATATCGTAATATCCTACTCTCCGGCGATTTCAGTCGATACGTATCTAAATCTTGTCAGCGCAATCTACTACTATTACTCTCCCTACTCTCCTATCGCCAGTCGCTCAGTATCCTACTATCCTACTCTCCGACTATCCTGCTATCCTGATCTCCGGTGTCGCGAACTATGAACGCGCCCTTGCGGCTGAATTGGCTTGAATATTTACAAACGTATCTGAGGTGTGATTGTAATGAATTAGAATTAGCAGACTGAGATTGAGTGAACGGTAGTAATCTACACTAAAGTGGCCTGTTAAGAATAGGTCATATGCCGTGAAGGGAATTGTCTTTTGGGCCTCGCGTCCCGCTTTCCTGCGGGGTGTGAGATATTTCAGTGGAACTAGAGGGTCGTAATTAGCGGATTACTGTAGAGTACGGTAGGTCACTTCGCCCTCTCCAGAATCGCCTGTGGGGTGCCCACTTAATTGCTTGCGCTGAACGCTGACCTTGCTCGATAGCTCCAAAAGAAGCAAAATGAAGTAAATGAAGTAATATTTGAGGGTTGGACTCCAGTGTTATACGCCGAAAACAATGGTGGGGGGGGGGGGGGGGAAGGGGGGGGGGGGGGGGGGGAAATGAAGATTCATTATGTTGTAGAAATAAATGAAGGGAGTCAAGCAAATGACATGTTCTGTCATAGTTTACAGAGTGTCAATAGAATTGAAAAATTTTATGGTGGGCTTGTTTAAGAATCGGAAAATAATTCTCTAAGTGGTAAGAGTTTTTTCGCGCTGGCGTGCTTGTGCCTGAAGATGACTTTCGATACTATTTCCTAGGAAATCGAATCATGAATTTATATCGCCCTGAAAGGCAATCACCTCATAGGACTGCCTATCGCCCTTGCTCATGACACAATCCCTTTTTTGGCCTCACGGGCCTAACACCCTATTAAAAGGTCACGTCAAAAGATATTTAGAGCAGTGATAAATAGCGTTAACAAACACAGTTTGTGGCTTCTAGTGCTGCATGATCATGTACTCAACCTTCACCCACAACACTCCTCCCCAAGATTCCTTCACTCAAGCAATTCCTACAGGTTTAGCGATGAGTATTCCTGACAATGATAGCTGCTCAACGACCTGCTCAGAATTTACCTGGATTCTGTCTCCCTTTCATGACTGATCAACCACACGTCTGAACTCCGCCTGCATGAGTTTGGTGATCTTCAAGGCACTTCATGAAGAATCCTGCATGCATTTTTACGTGCAGCGGCACCTTTTTTTTTTTTGTTTTTTAAGCAGTTCTGCCTATTTTTTTCCAGGTTTTATGAGCCCTTCTGTGGCACCTACTGCAACACCATGCATGCGGCCGCTCCTCCACTATATGTGGGTCCAACATCATCACAAGCAACGCCATCATCTGCAGCTCCTCCACCACTTTCTTCGATTGCTCCGCGTCATCCTACACCTTCATTCAGCTCTCATGGGGTTTCACAATATTTGGCTTCGGCACAACCTATTATCATTAAGGGCTTCTCAACCTTTGCGTTGTCCTTGTCTATCTTAGTACTTCGCTTAGCCTCTACTCGCTTACCGTGTGTTGGTATGCAACTTCTAGTTCTATTCCAGTCTCGCGTCCTATCTCATTCGATTCGTCATCTACATTTCTCTCCGACCGTCCACTTTTCCCTCCCTATGCTCTTGTCCTACAGCTTATGCTCCAGCTCCTCGCTCTATCTCCATTGATGCTGCGTCATCTACATTTTCATCTCCGGCCTTCCACTCATTTCTCTATGGCTTGTCACGTGTCGCCTGCTCTCCAGTCTCCGTCTATCTCATTGATGTCGTCATCCTAAATTTTCATCTCCGGCTTCCACCTTTTGCCTATGCTCCTTGTAATCTCTACTTCATCTCCAGCTTCTGATTGTTACATTCTTTTCCTGATGTCCCTGCCGTTCCTACGTACCCGCTTCAGTCTTCAGCGGAATTTAATTTTCTTCTCTTCAGGTAGCCAGTTGGAGCACAAGCTTCATACATTATACGAAGTTATGAATTGGAGATAGGAGCGGAGGAGCTGGAGATGAAGGGCTAGGTTGACAAGGAGCAGTAGGAGAAAGGGGTGGAAGGGCCGGAGATGAAAATGTAGGATGACGAGGATCAATTGGAGATAGGAGCGGAGGAGCTGGAGATGAAGCTGGAAGCTGCATACCAACACACTGTGAAAGCAGTGGAGGGGTTGAAAGGCGAAGGTATAGGTTGACAAGGAGCAACAGGCGAAAGAGGTGGAGGAGCCGGAGATGAATAGGTATGTTACAAAACAAGAGGTGGTGAAAGCAGTGGAGGAGCTGGAGATGAAGGTGTAGGATGACGCGGAGCAATCGAAGAAAGTAGTGGAGGAGCTGCAGATGATGGCGTTGCTTGTGATGATGTTGAACCCACATATAGTGGAGGAGCGGCCGCATGCATGGCGTTGCAGTAGGTGCCACAGAAGGGCTCATAACCTGAGAAAAAATAGGAGAAACTGGCTTGAAAAGGTGCTGGGGCCACGTAAAACGCAGGTGCAGGTTCTTGCATTGAAGTGCCCTGAAGATCACCAGAACTCATGCAGGACGGAGTTGCAGAAGGTAGTGTGTTGAGCAGGTTCATCGAAAGTGGAGTAGAATCCAGGTAGAATTCTTGAGCAGGTCGTTGAGCAGCTACGATGTCCAGGGAATTACTCATCGCATAACCTGCTAGGAATGCTTGGGTGAAGGAATCTTGGGGAGGAGTGTTGTAGGTGAAGGTTGAGTACATGATCATGCAACACTAGAAGCCACAAACTGTGTTTGTTGACGCTATTTATCACTGCTCTAAATATCTTTTGACGTGACCTTTTAATAGGGTGTTAGGCCCGTGAGGCCAAAAAAGAGGGATTGTGTCATGAGCAAGGGCGAAAGGTCATGTCCTATGAAGTGATTTGCCTTTAGGCGAGTGATAAGATGTGTGTCCATGATGTCGTATTCTCCTTGAAGGAAATTAGTAGTGCAAAGGTCATCTTTCGGCACAAAGCAGCGACCACTGCGGAAAAAGTACCTCATTTAACACTTTAGAGAATTCTTTTCTCGCATTCATCTACAACAATCGCAGCAGAAAAATTTCTGGCAATTCTAATTGAAGCTGACTCTTGTTAAACTTATGTGCAGACACATGTGCATTTTTTGTTTTACTCCCTTCAGTTATTTCTACAACATTAATGAAGTTTCATTTCATACTCAGATGTTTATCGGCTCTGAAACTGGAGTCCAACCCTCAAATATTACTTTCATTTACTTTATTTTGCTTGTTTTGGAGCTATCGAGCAAGGTCAGCATTCAGCGCAAGCAATTAAGTGGGGTCACCCCACAGGCGATTTTGGAGAGGTGCGAAGTGACCTACCGTGCGCTACAGTAATCCGCTAATTACGCTACCGTACTAGGTTCCAACTAAGTACCTCACACCCCTGCAGCTAATGTCGTCCACGGTT